GGCTCAGTTCCCCGTCTAAAGCCGACTGCTTGAGGTGCCTGCTGGTAACACCTTCTGGAACCACCACCCAACGACAGAGTGTTACGACCCATGGCATTCGAAAAGCCATCGCTAAATACCACCCTGTCTGCTACGGGGTGTCAACGAGCACTCCCTGAACCTACGTCGACATCTTCGGGAAGCCAAATTTGTTACTACCGTCAGTGTATACGTCCACATCCCCCAATGACCAGTTCCAACGCGACGAGTACCACGATGATGTGGCCACTTCGTGAGGATGTACGATGAAAGACTATCAAAACGAAACGGCGATTATGCGGCAATCGCTACCCAACGCTGCATGCACTTTTTTCTTCTTGTCCTTGTGAACAGCACTAACTGGAAACTGTGGACAACTTCGTCTATTTTGGTAGCACTATGCAAGCCTGCATCGAAACCGACTATGCAGTGGCCAACTGGGTCCCAAAAATCAGTCCCTGCTTATGTCGACTGCGAACTTTGCAGTTTTCCTCTCAACACCAAGCTCATGACATTTAATTATGATTTTTTGGATTACGAACATTTATGCTGCAGTGCCATGAACCGTCTACAGGAAACAAGCGCGGAATCACAACCACTTTCATCTTAGATATCTCCTGCAGTTAATCAACCAGAGGTGCGGGGCGAAATTCTAGACTTGTAAGATTTGGAACGCAATAGAATCCTCAGCAATCACGCCATGTAAAGGCAACTACAACTATTTTGAGGCGGCAACTTTGTGTGTGGCACACGAAAATGAGTTCATCTCAACACTGTGATCCACCCCTATCAGTGCCCGCATCTGATAAGTGACCGGCACGGACAGTCGACTGATGCACACGATAAGTTGGAGTGTGATGCCGGCTCTCAGCGCCTAATTCCTTCTATTAAAAGTCAAACGCGCATCAGACTATCACGGTGAGCTAAAAACTGTGGCTTGAAAGGGTACCAACTTGTGCTTCAAATCTTGCCAAGTAGTCAGTCTAGCTGTACTTTTTCTTCAGTCAATCTGCTGCGTAACTGCTGATGATTGTGAGGTTTGAATTTCAGGCGAGTTTTGTTCAACGCGGATTTTGAAGAGCATCACAGTTTCACACGAATAATATTCAAAGCATTTTAAGAAAAGGCTTTCAAATAATACGCTGGTCAGTCAGTGGGTTGCAGCCCAATCTATGATTAGCCAGATGGCCCTATCTGCGTGAGAATGCTACACGGCTGCATATGCCGCCTGAGCGTGCCTGACGCACATCCCTGTGGCGTGGAGGCCTGCAAACCAGGCGAGATAAAATCGATCGATAGCTCGCTTAACGTGTCGTGCAACATCGCTCGCAGTGCGGGCATGTGGCTTTCGGTAGATGGTCGAGCACTTAAGGCCCTTAGAACCGCACCTGAACTGCCTCGAGAGAATGTCGTCAAACTGAGCCGATTGCGACGGTGTGCGCTATCGACGCGCAAGTGCGTGTCATCGAGGACCTTCACGCCGCCAACAGCTCGGAAGCAATAACAACGTTGGCCTATCTTTACTGCGAATCATATTAGCTTACTGCACTGATTTTATGTGCAAGTAACTGTGTAAAACCAAGTAAAATATCTCCGCCCATTCTAAGTATTTCTTCCAGCGATTAAGTAAAGAAGAAGAGAGAATCCTGGAGCGGCAAAATATAATACCGATGGGAGCGAAGCTTTCAAAGCCAAAACGTGAGTTCATGAATTTAGGTCGTCCAAGAGTCTCAACAACGTAAGGGGGGAGGCAGGTGGAGCGGCCGGCTTGTGGTCTGAAAGTCAGGCTGCAATGACTTCTTATTAATGTTGCCTTTATTGCACTCCCACTGCGTGGGATCCGAGCAGGATATGGGCTGCACGCCCAGGTGCGGCTTCGACCGTCCCAAACCCAATCCTCTTTGTTGGTCGAAAGCGTGGTTATAGGTTGTCTGAACCAGGGGGAATCACAACCACTTTCATCCGAGTTGTCTCCTTCGAATACTCAGCCAGAGGTGTAGGGCGAAATTCTAGACTTGTTAGATTTGGAGCGGAATAAAATCCTTAGCCATCACGCTATGTAAAGGCAACTTCAACTACGATGGGGCGGCCACTTGGTGTGGGTGTAAGATTAACGACAAACAAAACAGATGTGCACGCTAAAAAGGGGGTAAAAGCTCCGCTGCAAGGGTATTTAATGTTATTGTAATTCAAAAAGAGCTCTTGGCGGCACGCCCAGCCGCGACTTCGGTCGTGCCAGCCTCCAAATCTCTGTTGTGTTGATGAAAATCCTGGTTATTTGTTGTGTGGACCAGGGGGGTGGTGGAACGCCAAGGTGAGGATCCGTCCGAGCCATCCACCTGCGGCCTCCCTCGTCTCCGGTCTTCTTGACTCTATCTTGACACCGAGTCAAGGCGGGGGAGGAGGACAGAGTGTTTGTAGATGCAGCGCAAGTCTACTGGCACTATAAACCCCTGCGCAAGTCACCGTCCCTGCTCCCACCGCTGCTGCAGCAGCTGTGGGGCACACGGTGGACATCGTCGAAATCAACGGTCGAACTGTCATGTGTGTGTGTGTGTGTTTCAGGGGTGTAGGGGTGCTCCAGAGGTGGATCCACGTGATTGTCTTAGTGGTCGCTCACTTGCTTGCAGGGGAGACTACGCCTAGCGTCCATTTGCTGGCACTCAACTGTCACGAGTGGCTCCACGTAGCTGGGCTCTGCTCAGCGGCCACACCCCGGGCAACCGTCTCGACCGGCGGGCTAAACCGGGTGAGGGTATCCGTGCGTGCACCTGCACACGCGGTGCTGTGGTCTCCGCTGGACGGAAGGATCTTCGCGTCGACATCGTCGAGACGAGGCTCTGCCTGGACCATCGCAGGAGGCCACCAGGTAAGTTATTCTTCAGGTAAGTAAATTTGCTTTGTTTTTTCCTTTTGTTTTTTGAAGTTCCGTGATGTCTGCTGCCCTTGCTGCCTGCCCTCTATATGTTAGTCTGCCTGTTAATAGCTAGATGAAACTCTCGATGCCTGCTGCAACTGTCTGTCTCTTAGTCTATGCCTCTCTCTGCTTATAGCTAGGTGTTACGGTTTTTGACTTTGAGTGGCACCCTCACGTTTGTCTCTGACTGATGACTGTGTCCGCTTGTCCACTCTAGCTCTAAGACCCATAGCGGTTAGGTTGTGTGTATGCTCTCTCTTGCTTTACTCCATCAAATCACCATCACCACCAAGGTCCTAGGCTTATTCGGGTCGTTCTCTCACTAACAAAAACGCGTGGCCCATAGTGGAGTCCGGCAGCCGTCTGGAATAACCGGGCAAACCTATTCAGGGATGCGTTGCCTGCCCTCGCGAGGGGGAGGGGTCTAGAAAAGTTGCCCTAAAAATCGCCGCAGAGAAAAAACACACGGTCGAAACAGCAAAAACCGGAACAACAACAACTACTCTCTTCATCTTCCAGCCTATTCTTCTTCTTCTCCTCCTAATTTTCGTCGCCGCAGTCGCCAGACTGGCAGGGTGAGCCAACTTACTCAGGCAGCCTGGAATGTTCGTTCACTTTTAGACAATCCGAGGAGCAACCGACCGGAACGGAGGACCGCGCTAGTAGCACGAGAACTGGCGAGCTACAAGGTGGACATGGTTGCACACAGCGAGACTCGATTCTCCGAACAAGGCCAACTGGAGGAGGTGGGTGCCGGTTACACCTTCTGGAGTGGTCGACCCAAGGCAGAGCGACGAGACGCGGGCGTCGCTTTCGCCATCCGGAACGACATCGTGGGACGACTGCCCAGCCTGCCGCAGGGAATCAACGATCGCCTGATGAGCCTCCGTCGACCTCTCCGGGGTGGGGGCAAATTCGCCACCATCATCAGCGCCTACGCTCCTCCGATTACCAGCCCCGAGGCCGCCGCAATAGACAAATTCTAGGAGGACCTGCACGCCCTCTTGGCGACTGTGTCGAAGGCGGACAAGTTGATTGTCCTCGGTGAATTCAATGCCCGCGTCGGCACAAACCATGCTGCCTGGAGCGAAGTGCTGGGTACTCATGGTCTGCGCGGCTCAAACGACAATGGTCTGCTGCTCCTACGCACCTGAGCAGAACACCGCCTCATCCTGACGAACACGTTCTTCTGTCTACCGGAGCGAGAGAAGGACACCTGGAGGCATCCTCGGTCGCGTCAGTGGCACCTGCTGGACTATGTCCCCGTCCGGAGGCGAGTTTAGCGGGACGTGCTAGTGACAAAGGCGATCGTGGGTGCTGACGGTTGGACCGACCATCGCCTCGTCATTTCGAAGATGCGTATTCGTCTACAGCCTCGCAGGAGACCACAAGGTAATCGACCCCCAGGTGAGCTGAATGTTGCCTTATTGTCTTTGCCTGCTCATCATCTCCATTTCAGCAATGAAATAGTCCAACGGCTAGACAATCTTCCAATCGCCGCCGCCGATGACGCCGCCGCTGCCGAGAACGCCTCCATGGAGAACCGCTGGTGTCAACTGCGAGACACGGTCCAGTCAACGGCGCTCGCCGTCCTCGGTCGCGCTCCCCGTAAACACCAGGACTGATTCGACGACAACGACGCCGCCATCAGAATTCTGTTTGCTGAGAAGAACCGCCTACACAAAGCCTACGTAGATCACCCCACTGAGGACAACAAAGCTGCCTTCTACCGCAGTCACCGCCAACTTCAGCAACGTCTGCGCGAGATGCAGGTCGCCTGGACTGCTCGCAAAGCTGAGGAGATCCAAGGCTACGCGGACCGCAACGAATGGAAGAACTTCTTCTCCGCGATCAAAGCTGTCTACGGTCCACCGACGAAGGGCACTGCTCCTCTCCGCAGCGCCGACGGCAGCACTCTCCTGACTGAGAAGACGCAAATCCTACAGCGATGGGCCGATCATTTCCGAGGCGTCCTCAACCGCCCCTCCGCCATCTCCGACGGCGCCATCGTCCGTCTACCGCAAGTGGAGACCAACGTGGACCTCGACCTCCCGCCATCTTTCCAGGAAACCATCAGGGCCGTGCAGCAGCTCTCCAGCGGGAAAGCACCCGAATCAGACGCCATCCCTGCTGAGGTCTACAAGCACGGAGGTACCCAACTAATGGATCACCTGACTGCGCTCTTTCAGGAGATGTGGCGTCAAGGTGATGTCCCGCAAGATTCCAAGGACGCAACCATCGTGCATCTTTTCAAGCGAAAAGGGAACCGCCAAGTCTGCGACAATCACCGCTGCATCTCCCTGCTGAACCTCGGACGGAAGATCTTCGCTCGCATCCTTCTCAACCGCCTCAATAACCATCTGGAACAGGGCCTTCTGCCGGGAAGCCAATGCGGCTTCCGTCGTCATCGTGGGCCCACGGATATGATCTTCGCCGCCCGTCAACTTCAGGAGAAGTATCAGGAGATGCGGACTCACCTGTACTCTACCTTCGTGGACCTGACGAAAGCCTTCGACACGGTGAATCGTAAAGGACTGTGGAAAATCATGCAGAAATTCGGCTGTCCGGAGCAATTTACTCAGATGATGCGTCAGCTGCACGACGGTATGATGGCGCGAGACCCGTACAACGGAGCTGTCTCAGAGGCATTCGCAGTGACCAACGGAGTGAAGCAGGGATGCGTGCTGGCGCCTACCCTCTTCAGTTTCATGTTCGCTCTCATGTTGATGGACGCCTACCGCGACGAACGCCCCGGGATCCGCATCGCCTACAGGACCGACCGTCGCCTCGTCATCTCGAAGATGCGTATTCGCCTACAGCCCCGCAGGAGACCACAAGGTACCCGACCCCACTGAATGTTGCTTTGTTGTCTTTGCCCGCTCATCATCTTCATTTCAACAATGAGCTCGCTCAATGGCTTGGCAACCTTCCAATCTCTGCTGCCCCCGCCCTCCGCGAACAGGTCGCTAGTTCTACCTGAAGAGGTCCTAGGAGGATGATACGAAAATCATTGTGAGAATAATATCTAATAATATCTAAACATAGATGCATCGTGAGTGCTCTCGCGATCACGGATCTGCTAGCAATTTAATTTTATACTACTGTCCCTTCCTTGAAGGATATACCGAGACCTTGGCTCTAACATCAGACACGACAACTGATGCTGGATTAGATGGTCTTCGAATGATAAGGTCCTTGTGTTTAAGTCGTCACTGTTCTCTTTTAACCCATCGCATCTGCATACTTTGAATTGACCTTCCTTTTCCTCCGCTTCTCCCCTATTTTCTCTTATTGCTAAGGCTCTAACACGGATTCACAATCTGCCGGAAAACCAAGTCTCAACCACCTGTGCCCGCATCTGTTAAATAACATACTCGGACTGTCAGTTGATATACAGGATAAGGGGGAGTGAGTGATGTTGGCTTTCAGCGCATATTTCCTCTTAACAAATAGTCACACGTACATCAAACTATTACGATGCGCTAGAAACTGTGACTCGAAAGGTTACCAACTAGTGTTTCCCCTTCGACCAAGCAGTCAGCCCAGTCGCGTCTTTGCTTGCTGAAAGTCTAACTGGTGAACTAACAGTCTGACTGCGATGGTGCTCCCTCATGCATGTGAGATCACGGGCGCTTCACCAATGCATTTGTAATCCTAGCGAGCACGTTTTGGTGTGGGGGGCCTCCAATTAAAGCACGCAGTTAACGCAGACGGGATCGCTAATACAGTCAGCCACTGCGCTAACTCCCGCATCAGACAACTGACCGGCTAAGACAGTGAACCGGTGCCGCAGAGTGGGAGGAAAGATGGCGTCAGCGGTTTCTGACGCGTATTCATCACGACGTGCTTGGAGCTCTAATAGTGCGCTGAATGCCATGGCTTGGAAGGTTGCAAACTGACAGCATGTCTCGGAACTCGAAGTCAGTCCAATGATTGTTGTATGGAGTGGCCGACCCTTGGACTGAAAATCGGGCTGTAGTCTTTCGTTCTCAATGTGGCATCTAGGGCGCTCTTACTCAGTCGGATCCCATCCGTTTTCTTTTTTGGTGAAAAATCGGGATCAATGGATCAGGAGTATTGTGATACGTACCACACCATCAAACCTCTTCTAACAAGAAGGTTTTTTATGCATCACTTTAGGACCACGATTTCACCATCCAGATTTTCCACACTTAGACGATTTTGAGAGATTATCTTTCCTCACTTGCTGAGCATCTTGGTGGATCCCGACGTCTCATTTTGTAATTATAAGCTTGGTCTCTGAATGATACCTCGGTAGTAAAATGAAAAAAGGTTTTCTATTATTTTAGTTTAGCCTTACAATTTAGGCCCAAATTTGAATAGCAATACAATGCCCAGTGGCATCCTTGGAGCTATCTCATTTCTTCCCAGTTGACTAGCATCTTCTCATTCCAATCCAATCCACCGTACTTTTCACTGATCGCCTTCTTTTACTCAGGTCTTACTCGCTAAACACCCTCCCTCATGGACACATCAGACGGTAATTATGGCCTTGGCCTCTGAACGATACCTCCGTCGTTATCGGAGGGGATCTGCTGTTGCCATCCAAAGGACATCTTAGCGTCGTCTTCCCTGGTATTGATTTGACGACATTTAATGTCTTTGTCTGCCACAAGGATTTTGATGTCTTCATTACTCAACTGTTCAGGAAAGCGACAAATCAAATACAAGGACTGTGCGATAGTTGAGGGAAGACGAGAAAGTGCGGCAGATGCAGCACAAGACTCCTATCCCTTTAAAACTAATAAATCTGCACGTCGCCGTCCCTGTGGAGCACACGGCGAGCATTGTCGGCCAGGACGATCGAACAACTGCTTATACTTTCAGGCATGATTTACAACTGATGTGTCAGGTAAATTACCTGCGAATGGGTTGGCATTCGTGGCCATGTTGAAACATGACGCACGTTGCTCGCTTATTACTAAGGCTCTAACATGGATTCACAAACTGCCGGAAAGCCAAGCCTCAACCAGATATACTGCCTTTCCACAAGCGGAGTCGCGTCAGCCTAGGTGCATCAGTTAAGAGTAATGACAAGGGGTTTGGTGTGGAGTGGGGGTGGGGTGGGGTGGCGACTAGGTGGGGCTTCGCATGTGCACACTTAAGTCACGCCCGCGTACCGTGAGTAGAGAAGTCATCGACTGTGTGAAAGGAGGATGACGCACCTCAAGGTTGGTCTTCACTGCGTTTTCGCAGCTAAGAGTGGAGACGAATGGAGCTCTGGATTAAGCCAGCAGTTCGCTTAAGCTGGTTCAACAGCAGGCGATTGAGAAACGCAACAGTTGAGAACTGCAAGTAAGTCCCCAACAGACTGGATGGCAGTCTGATCTTGGGCAGGAATAAAGTTAGTGAGGTAAGCGCTAAAACATAAGTGTAAATTGTGTCAGAGATTGCAATTTGTAGTACAGATTAGAGTTCCGTTTCGCAAATCCAATTAACTGGAAGGAAGCTGCCCAAGGCTGTGGTAATCTCGTTGGCTGCCTGTAGGTGAGATTTGATGGAGCCTTAAATAAAACCAAAATGTTCCTGTTGCCTCTTTTAAGCAGGCAGGGTATGCGAGAACCAAACCCGCATGAACATAGAGATAGACGCTTGCTAAATGTCCGTATGATTTTAAGGATTAAGCTATCAGCGATTTAGGTTCCCTCAGCAGCCAAATTATTCAAGGTGTGAACGTACATGTCCGAAATAACTACGCAGTGTTAAACAAATTTTACCAGGTCGCCGCTTAACGTGAATCTTTGTTATGTTATGCATAACACAACGAAATAGATTAAGGGTTAATCTTATACACAAAGTTGTTGGAATAGTAATCATCAGTTACTCCTTTTGATATATTCGGTCAACTTTCTGATTAAGTCGGTTGCAATCAGGTGTTACAGTTCAACACGAATCAAATCACTGTTCGGTTACCCTAGCCCGAAATATTTTGCAAATCTGACCGCTTTTAACTTGTATCAGCGGTACTGAGCGCTTCAACAATCAACAGTGCGCAGGTGCCCAGTCTAAAGGTCATAGATTTCCATATTCGTCCAGGGCAGTCCGCCATCTACCGCCGGTTGGACACCCCGTGTCACTAAATTCCAAGGTGAAATTATAACCCCCCCCGACATCCAAACTTTAATCTCAACCGCAATCTTACTCGTGACCCCGCTAAACATCATCTTAACACTAGATGACCCTAACGCAAACCATAACTACAAACCCAACTCTAACTCAATTGGGATTTGGCTCAGATGAATTGCACACATTCATGGATTTAAAAGTTGATGCTAATAGCGGTTTTTTAGTTAAATTTTCTCCAGACCTTACCGAAAATGGCAAATGAGAAATATGCAGAGAAGACATGCGAGCAGGCAAAATCTTGTTTTGTATGCGGGAGCACGGGTTACGGTCATAGCATTGATTAAACGGTTTTGCAAACGGAACCAGTTGAAATATTAACCTTCAGTTATTTTCTTTGACGTGGTCGGTTGACTTTCCAATGATTTTGTTCCCCTCCAGACTCGATAGTCTCATGCATGATTGGGAGGAGGAAGATACATTACGTGACCTATCTCATGAAATCTGATAACGGAAACTAATTAGAGAATATTTGGACGCCTTTAACGTGGCCCATTTTGTTCGCTCACCCACGTCCTTCAATGTAATGTCCTTTTCTTGTTCAAGAAATTGTGTTT